CTACTCTTTGTCCCGAGAAATGAGCTATGAAAAAAATGCGCCATTATTAAAAATTAAAAAAAACAGACACTGAACATAATTTTATAATTTTCTGTGGTATGGCGTCGAGTAGGAAACTTGAATGCTTAATAGAAATTAAAGCTTAAGACCTCCCCTTCATTTCATGCTCAGACATGAATCGCATTTTTTAATGTTTTATGGGCCAAAAATGCAATACAACTGCGAAACCATATACAATTTCTTAAGCTAAATTGTTACAAATTTGCCTAGGTTATTAACATTAAAAGCAAATTACAACACCAAATATTCAGTTTCCAGAATTTATGTCAAAGGGTATTTTATTAAGGACCTTGTGGAAAGTATTTTCACCAAATGACTTGAGAAGATCCCATGACCTAGTACTCCTAAAAGTTGCTTTACAAAAAAAAATTTCGATTTTTTTAGAAAAAAATATATATATGCACAAAAAATAGATGGCTAATTTTCTAAGAGAAGAAGTCGAGGCGGAGGGATGGTTACTTCAGAAAAAATAATCTTCAAGGTATTCTCTTTAATTCCTTCTCAGACAGTGAACATCTATCTTGAGGGGTTATATGTAAAAAATCGGTCTAAAGGGAGTAAATGCTCAAAATTTCTGTCTGAAGTTTGTAGTGACATTTACTAAGTTATTAACTTTGAAGCTCATATTTGAAGTATGAAAAGAGCTTATAGAAGCTTTTTGTTAAAGGATATTTTATTGAGAACACTCTAACAAACATTTTCCCCAAAGAACTCAACCTCCCCCCGCATACCCTTTACCTAGAAAAATGACAATTAATACATATATATTAATTTTATTTGATTTTTTCCAAAAAGGGACTCAATAAGCAATAGTCCTGTTTTCGTTGATAAGGGGCCAAGAGGGGTAATTGTGTTCTTTAGGAAAATTACTTGTTTAGGTTCGAGCTTTATTTCCTTTTTGGGCATGAATCGCATTTTTTAATTTTTTATATACAAAACATGGATCTGAAATGTATTTCACTTTTCCAATGGGATATTGCCATCATTTAAATTTTTTATTTAAATAAAATGAAATTTTCGTATAGAAAAATTCTATATAAAGCTTGGGTGTTTGAGAAGATCTTGTAGAGAACCCTATAGTGAATAATTTTGCTAAAGTAATTAACCACCTATCTCGTAACCTTAACCCTGAATAATTCCCTCGATAAAATTATATTTTTTATTTTTATTAAAAAATCTCAAATACAATTGTAGAGGGGTTTCCTGGCAAAAGGGTCGGGGATAGGTGATTGATTTTGTCTAGAAAAATATTCTCTAAAGGATTTTCAATATTTTCTTCCTTATGATGATCGCTTCATTTTGAAGTTTTGGGGTATTTAAATATGATAAAAATTATATTACTAAAAAATATTTAAGTTGAAAAAAATCCTTAAGATTTCAAGAAGATTTTTTACTTGGTTTCCTCCTCAATACTTAATGTAGTTTTTTTTAAATATTATTTTTAAGTTTTAATTTCTTTATAATATTTAATAAAAAACAATTTTAGTTTATAGTGCATTTTTGATGTATTTAATCACCATTTATTTATTTTTTCAAATACTGTAAATAATGTGAATGAATGTTTTTTGTTTGTTGTTGTTATAATTTTTAAGTTTTGTAAATATAAATATATAGCACACAAAATATGTATTTTCAATTATTTATTTTTTATTTGACCCTGATCTTTTTATGTTCTGTAAACTCCCCTGTACCCCAAAAATAAAAATAAAAATCAGTTTAAAAAAATTGGTAAACATCAAAATTATATTGTAAACAAAAATCATTTTGTAAATTTTGTTTTTAAGTTCAAATTATTATTTTTGTAAAATTAGTGAAATAATTGGCAAACAAAACATAAACGAAATTGTTCCTGATCCTTATAAATATATATCGTCCTCCAGCAATATTAGAACTGAATGATTGTATTCTAAAACCCTATTCCAAAAACAAAATTCTTGTAAAACACCTACATCTTCACACCCTTACACTTCCACACACAGCCACACTTCTAACCCATTCACACATATATATACAAACAATGCACACACACACACACCCACATTTCACTTACACCCCATTCCTATTTAAATAAAATTAATAATTATAAAAATTATATAAATTGGCTTTAAATATATATGTATCAAAATTTCAAATACATATTTTCAAAATTTTATATTGTATCGAAAAAAAATCCCGGAAAAAATTTTAAAAATTCAGTTCTTCTGTTGTTGCTGTTGCGCTGCTATCCACGCTCTCAAATCAATTGGAAAGAAACCCCTCAAAAAAATTCCCAAAAATGAAAATTCCCTTTATCCCCACATTTTTTTCAAAAAGTTATCTTTTCTTTTCCTCAGTTGCTTTAAACCATTTTTTGTGGATTACCATCATCCCAAACAAAAAGAGAAGATCATGGTCATTAATGCTTGAAACCAATATTAATAAAAAAAAGTTAACTTAAAAATATTGTGGCCTAGGGGCCATCGCTTGCATTTTCCTCTTTCATTTTTTTATTTTTCTTTCCCATTTTTGGTTTCATTTCCAATTTCATTTTTTGGGTTTATTTTTTTGGAAAAATTATCTATTTTTCTCTTTCGTCTTTTTTTGTTCTTCTATTTGAAACCTCAAATAAAAAAATAATTTCACCCTGATCATCCCTCTCCTTCCCACCTAATAACAACAACAACGTTTCGCAAAAGCAGCCTCAGATGTACAACAGAACTTGGGCAAATTTCTAAATAGTACACAAATTAAAGAAGAACTCAAAGAAGACGATGATGAGGACGGCGAAGAAGAAGGAGGCAGTGGGCGGCCCAAATCCGGTGAGGCTCAAAATGAGCAGCTGCATAGCGAGGAGAACCCTTTACCTTTGGCCTTAGAACAAAAATTACGTGAATATTCCGGCGGCGAAACGGCGGAAGCCACAACAACAGCCACATGCAACGAAGTGAATTCCGCGCATGCCAACAATCTGAAATTGGCGGCGAATATTAAAACACGTTCGGCGAATTCTTCACCTGCCCGTTCAATGCGTTCATGGCATGACAGTGATGATGAGAATTTTATGGATGATGATGGTGCCTCGTCGATATCATCGGCCATTTCGTTGACCATGAAAACCTCAAGGCAAAATAGTGAATCGACCCTGTATCAGGCCTTGCTGAAGAAACAACAACACCATCAACAACAGCAAAGGCTTAGTGATCAACAGGAACATCAATTGCAACAATTACACCAGCAGCAACAACAACAACAGCAGCAACATCAAAATGATCACCAGCAACAACACAATCACCAGCAACAACAACAACAGCAGCAGCAACAATATCTCGATGAATTACAACAATCCGCGGTGTCAGCACATCATCAGCAACAGCTGACAGCCAATCTGCTAATGGCCCGTACCATAGCCTTTAGTCGTTCACGAGATTTCCCCGATCTCTTTCAAAATCCTGCTGCTGTGGCAGCAGCAGCCGCAGCTGCGGCCACCGCCACTGCGGCCTCGGCCAACGCTGCCGCTGCTGCAGCCAACAACAGCAACTACATGTTACCTTGCCCTCTGTGTGAAACACCACTCGAACAACGTGTCTTCCGTCAGCATTTAGATCGTCATTATCCCCGCGATAGCCCCGTATGTCCGGTCATTGAGTGTGGTCGACGTTTTGCCCATCCCAATTCGGTGCGTAATCATATGCGTATCAAACACACTCTACAGTGGGCGAAAATGAAAGCAATGCGTTCATCGGGTGGACCCTTTGCAGGAGGGCCAGATTTTAAATGAAATTGTGAGGGTGATTAGTTTCAAAGAACAGGGGCTAAACTCTACTAAAGGCTTTTGAGAGCCATTCGAAAAAATTTAATAACAACAACAACCAAACATGGTATATTCCAACTACAACAAATATAAAAACAAATGCTTCCTTAAATGTTACAACAACAACTAAAAACTAAATTGAGAACTTGATACTTGGCGTATGATGAAGACGACTTATTCCTATATTGTTTATAGAGCTATGAGTACAACAACCAATGTATACGCTAATGATTAGAATATTGACTGACTTTATTTTTTTAGAAAATGTTAATGCTTTCTAAAACTGATAAATTAGAAAAAAAAATGAAGAAAACTAGAAATAGTTTCCCCTCTATGGAAAAAAAACTACTAAATCACGACCAAGAAAAAAAAAATCCAGAAAATATTTTCAAAACAAAAAATAATTTCAGATTTTGGAAAAAAATTTAACAATTGAAATTGCTGAAATAACAAAACATTTGATATAACATTTTTTAAACAAAATCTTATTTAAAAATAATCTGGTGTCTACTTTTAGGAGTTCATAACAAAATGTTGCCTAAATTTGGCCAAATTCCCCAGAAAGGCTTAAAAAAACCAAAAATTAATTATAACAAAAAAAAAATAGTATTAAAAAATACGATTTAAAAATTCCAAAAATGAAAATTGGTGCCTACTTTTAGGAGTGCATCACAAAATTTTGCCACTAATGGCATAATGATTTCAGAAAAAATAAATTGAAAATTCAAACCGTGAAATAAGCCAAGATCTCATTATTATAAAAAATACATTTTAAAAATTCCAACAAAAAGTAGTGCCTACTTTTAGGAGTACATCACAAAATTTTGACAATTGCAGCTAATGGCATAGTGAATTAAAAACAAAAAATTAATAAATTGAAAATTCAAACAGAGAAATAAGTCAAGATCATACTGAAAAAAATTGGCAATAAATTTGTTAAGGTCTACTTTTAGGAGCCCCTGAAAAAATCGTCAAATTAGAGAAAAAAGCATCTCTGCTTCAAAAAAATTTTCTTCAAAGCAAATTCACGAATTAAACAACACGACTGAATGCCTAAACATGAATGAATGCCTAAATTTAGACAGTTTTTCTAAAGCATAGCATATCTTGAGGCTATAAAATAAGCGTTTCAAAATTTTCTTTTAATTAAAAAACAGAAAAAATGTTCCTAAGATTTATAGAATCACCCATGAAATTCCTTTAGTTTTAGACTTAATTTTATAAAATAAAAAAAATAATTATAGGTTTCATAGTATATATACCATTCGACTAAAATAATAGATAAGACTAATATTTAGGCACATAGCTATAAAAGAAAAAAGAAAACAAATCGGATTTTTTTCTAATTAAAAATAATTATTTTTAAATAAAAGTTCCTAGGATTCTTAAATCTGGTATTAAAAATTAAATTAATTAATTAAAAAGAAAAACAAGCATTTCGATATTTACACTCTTCTAAAATTCTAGTTAAAAAAATTCATATTTTTTTTCAAAAAAGAAAAAACAACATTTCGACATTCTTCTAAGATTCGAATGAAAAAAAATCATATTTTTTCAAAAAAAGAAAAAAATGAATAGGGTTATTTCAGCAACTACCAAAGATAAGAAATCTGAAATATGGTATTAAAAATAAAAAATATATATTAATTAGAACGAGAATAGAAATTCAATTAAAACTTAATACCTATTTTTCCAAAACAATTTCAAAATTGGTTATTTCAGCAATTATTACCAAAGAAAAGAAGTACTGAGTTCTAAAATTCCAATTGAAATATTATTCAGAATTGTTCCAAAAACAAAAAAATGTTATTTCAGCAATTACCACCAAAGATAAATAAAAAGATAAGTTCCTATGATTCCAAAATCATTCTGATTCGCAATTTAGAAAAAAAACTTCAAGTTTTTTTTACAATATATTTCCAAAAACTAATTATATAATATTTAACATATTTCAAAAAAATAAAATTTCCAAAAAAAAAATATTTAAAAAACATGCCTATTAAATAGGCAAAAGAAATACTATTATTATTATTGTATACATAAATAAATAATTCTAAAAAAATATATGCAAAATAATAAAAACTATAATTGAATTATATAAACAAAAATACACACACACAGAGACACACTTACATACATAACCACATATACACAAAAATTATACTACGTTCCTATATATATATAAATATATATACATTATGTATTATTAAACAACAACACAACTAAAAATAAAAAAAAACTAAAAATAATTTTGTAATTTAGTAAACAATGAAAATAAGTTACAATTCCTATATATAGAAAATAAGTTATACAAAGAACGCATAGAAATTATAACAGTATTACATATATATATATATATAAACAAACAGAAATAATAATAGTAATTATATATAAAAAAAATACCAAAAAATATAAAACAAAGGATTGTAGATATAATAAAAAAATACAACTAAAATAATGATATTGTTATGGAAAATAATAAATAAAATTACCCAAAAATATATACTACAATATATATATATATATATATATATATTTAGGGTAATTTATTTATTTATTTTTTGAATTAAACAAAATCAATCCAAACACTATATACAACAAACAAAACTATTCAAAAAAGAAACGATATATTATATATATATAGCAAACAATACAAAAAATAAAACTAAAAAATAATAATATATTAATAATAAAAAATTAAGTATTATAATTATACTGAAACAAACATAGAATGTGCCTGCGTAAATATATTTTTAGCCAAACAAAAAAATATGAAAACCAATAACAAAACAAGCAACTAAAATAATTAAAAACTATATATAATACACAACTTCACAATATTTGTTTGATACATCTGAAATAAAACAACAACAAAAAAAAGAAAAAATTAATTTGAAATTACAAGCCGAATATTTAATAATAATAAAACAAATGTATAGTTAAAAAACAACTAGCAATAATATTAATAAATAAATTGAATTATAGTAAATAAATAATTTATTACCAGCAACAAAAATATATAAAAATAATAATAAATAAAATGCTAAAAACACACACACATACTAAAGTAAAGCGATAAATGAGGAGAAAAATTAATAAACTTAACATAAAGGGAAGAACAAGAGTATAAAAAACTAACAAACAATAATAAAAAAAGAGCTCAAATTTCCAAAAAACATCCATGACTGGAAGAAATTGAAAAGTTTAGCAAAATGCAATCATTATTTTTTTAATTTATAAATTTAAAGAATCTCACTGGAAATTAATTTAAGAATAATAAATTTATATGTAATATAATTTTGTTTTAATAATTTTTTTCTATTAAAATATATAATTATTTAACATTTTTTGTGAATTCTTTTAATATATTTTTTTGGTTATGGAAATTAATAGAATTCAATAAAATGTATTTTTAAAAATATTTTTTTTTATTAAAAAAACAATTACTTAAATAAATTATAATTTATATTAAAATATTTTCGGAAAATTTAATTAACGAACTTACAAAAAAATATTTTATATTGTTTCTTTCCTAAATTAATTTTGTATAAAAAATTATTCTAAAAAAGCTAATTAAAATTTGTTTATTTTTTTTTAATTTCTTTTTTTTACAAAAATATCCTTTAATTATTTTTTATTTATTATTTATATTTATTTTTTTATATTAATTTTTAAATTAATTTTGTATAAAAATTGTTCTAAAAAAGCTAATTAAAATTTGTTTATTCTTTTAATTTTTTTAATACAAAAATATATTTTTATTAATATAATTTCTTAATATTATATTTTATATTATATGTATACCCTTCACCACACTGTGGTACAGAGTATTATGTCTTTTTAGTAACAGGCAAAAGGAATCGAGATAGACGCACTGTTCCTTCTGAGAATATACATACAGGTGGCATTTATGATCCTATTTGGATGAAATTTGACACAGCTATTAAATTTGGTCTAGATTGATATGTGCTAAGTTCCGTTGAATTCGGTTTAGATTTTTATATAGCTTCCACATATAGTTTCGTCCGATTTTATGTGAATGGTGCACCAAACTGCCAATATTGGTCCGATTAAAACAAAAATTTTCACAGAGTTCTGACGTAGGCCCAGATTGAGGTATGCGAAGTTTTATTGAAATCGGTTCAGATTTAGTTATAGCTCCCATATATATTTTCGTTCGATTTTATGTATACCATACTGTCAATATTGGTCCGATTGAGACAAAATTTAGCACAGAGTATTGAATTTGGTCTTGATTGATATGTGTCAAGTTCTTTTGAAATCGGTTCAGATTTAGATATAGCTCCCATATATAGTTTCGTCCGATTTTATGTAAATGGATCACCATACTGTCAATATTTGTCCGATTGAGACAAAATTTAGCACAGAGTATTGAATTTGGTCTAGATTGATATATGCCAAGTTCTGTTGAATTCGGTTCAGATTTAGATATAGCTCCCATATATAGTTTCATCCGATTTTACGTGCACCATACTACCAATATTGGTCCGATCTAGACAGCACAGCGTACTGAATTCAGTCCAATTTGACATCTGTAGAGTTTTTGTTGAAATCCGTCCAGATTTGAATATAGCTCCCATAGAAAACATTTTAAGTCTTCCCGATTGACATGCAATTTTTTATAGATTTCAGATTATTATGTATGGGTTTTTATTGGTATTATGTATGGGTTTTTATTGGTTCAAATATCTATGTAGGTAGCACATATAATTTCATCCGATTCCATTACAATGGTCATCCAAAGATGCTATGTCTGTTCTATCGACCGGATATTACACACATTATCATCTCTTGTATGTACCCAAAGTGGTGAAGGGTATCATATAGTCGGCCCCGTCCGACTTTTGAACTTTCCTTACTGGTTTTATATTATTATTATGATTAATTATGAGATCGTTAATTTTTGTTGAGAAAATTAAATATTAAAAAATTACTTCTCCATGGAATTTTTTTTATAAATTTTATTTAGATTAAGATTTAATTTTTTTCATATTTATATAAAAATATATAAATAATTAAATAGTATTTTCATATAATAAAAATATATTATATATTTTATTTTTATTATTTTCTATTTTACAATATTTTTTTAATTATATATTTAAATAAATATAAATAAAAAACAAAATTAAGTAAAATGAAAAATAAATATTATTGTATATCAGAATAAATTTTATTAGGAAAAATAATATTTATTTATTATTAAAAGAAATTTTTAAAAAATTATTTTCATTAAAAATATTATTTTATAAAATTATATATATTATTTTAGAAACTAATATATATTTATATATATTACATTATTTTTTACACTTCTTAGTTATAATTTCCAGTGAGATTTTTTTTTATAAAATACCCAATATTTTGCTTCCTTATATTTTGTTTTTATTTAAAAGCAAAACCATTAAAACAACTACTTTATATAAATGATGAATAATAAAAAAATAATGAAATTTAATACGTAAAAACTGGTTCCTATTAAATTAATCAAAAAACAACAACAAAAACAAATGTCTTTGAAAAAAATAACGAAAAAATGAAAGAAAAAAACTTTTTGAAACTAATTTTTATAAGAAGATTTTTTGTTTCTAAAAAATTATAAAAAACAAAATCCCAGGCCACGATTTAGGAAGGTACCTATGATCTTTTGTTTGTAAGAGAATAATAATTCCTATTTAAAAAAATATAACAACTTAAAAACTCTATTAGTTTTAGTTAAAATTTATTTAAAAATAATTTAATTAATTTATAAATTAATAACTGAGTATTATTTAAAAAAGAAAATAAAATAGCAAAAAAACGAATAATTATAAATTCTCTTTAGGTCAAAGAAAATAAATCTAACTTAACTAACACATGAAACGAAATATAGAAGAAACGAAGAAGAAGAATAAATAATATAGAAATCCTAAAAAAAATAAACAAGGCAAATATATACAATATATTTTCAAAGAAGAGTAAAGAATAAATGAAAAAATAAAAATAAAGAAAGCAAGAACAAAAAAATAAATAAAAATATTTGAAAAAATACAAAAAAAAAAACAAAAAGTGATTTTTATTTTCTTACCCTCAAACAAAAAAAACCTAACCCAAACTCAAAAACCTAACCTAACCTCTTTCCCACTCAAAATTTTTTAAATAAATGATTTTTGTTACTAATTTATATTTCTTTTTTTTTTGAAATTTTTTAGTGAGCCGCCGTTCCCTGGAAATGCGTGTACGTGCCACCGATCCTCGCCCCTGCCCCAAATGCGGCAAAATCTATCGTTCAGCCCATACCTTGCGTACCCATTTGGAAGATAAACACACAGTTTGCCCGGGCTATCGTTGTGTGCTGTGTGGTACTGTGGCCAAATCCCGTAACTCTTTACATTCTCACATGTCCCGACAACATCGTGGTATTTCCACAAAAGATCTACCAGTCCTACCCATGCCCAGTGCTTTTGATCCAGAGTTGGCATCACGTCTTTTGGCCAAGGCTGGGGTGAAAATCTCTCCAGCTGAATTGAGGGCACGTGCCTCACCCACAAATGGTGGTGGTGCTGGTACGGGACAAACTAAACTGGATGCTAGCCTCTCGAATAACATGAAAGATGAAGCCGAAGATTCCGATGATGATCCCGAGGATTTGACCACTGCCAGTGGTGGTTATGGAGGTAATACCAATGCCATTGGTGGAAATAATGATTTGAGCCGTTATCATGAATCGTTGTTGAGTAATTTCGGTCATGCCAATACAACCATATCACGTATCCGTAATGAAGCTGCTGCTGCAGCGGCGGCCGCTGCAGCCTTGGGTCAGCAGCAAAAGGATCTAAGTGGACAAATACCCACAAGTACAGCAGCGGGACAATCGCTCTTGGACACATATTTGCAATTTATAACGGAAAATACATTTGGTAAGTTCGGGAAAAACCCAATTTCAAATCTCAGAAAATGGAAAATAATTGTTTTTCTTTGTTCTCCCATAGGTATGGGCATGTCCCAGGAACATGCCGCTGCTGCCGCCTTACATGCTGCCAAAATGGCCCAACTAAATGCCATGGGCCATGGTTTGGATAAATTACCACCCGGCCTCTTGCCACCTCAATTCGATTTGAGTAAATTGGCCGGCCAGGCGGCTGCAGCTGCTGCTGCCGGTAATGCTTTCAACAACTTAGCTTCGGCCGGCAACAATGCCGGTGGCCTAACCATTGAACCCATTATGCGTCGTGACATAATGTCACCCCACCACAATAGCAATGAAAATCTGCACAATTCTCAAAATACACCTGCCAGCAGTAGTACCAGCCAAAATGATATTCGCCGCGATCCCTCCGAGCCCATGGATTTGGGTTTAGATGGCCAAAATCAATCGGGTAGTCACAACAATGATAATATGGGTTCGGATAATGAGGATAACTATTCCGAAGATGAGGGAGTGCACAATACATAAATTCGCTAGGTTGGTGTATAGGAAATGAGAAAACAAAACTATTTTAGGAATTATTTTTTGAGTTATTCTCTGTTTTTTTGAGATGAGAGCGTAAGAGAGAGAACCCTTACTTTTGAGAAAGAGAGAGGTTTTCTTCTACAAAGCCAAGGAAATTAGTTTAATTTTTTTCAAGTAGATATATCCACACACACACACACAAATATGAGCAACAAAGAAGCCTTAAAAATGTATACCAGAGTTTTTCCTCAATTTTTTTGAATTTTTAATTTTGAAAGAATTTTTATAAAAAACAATTTAAAAACCCCAACAGTTTCGTATACGATTTACGACAAAATTACAGAAAATTAAAAGGTTAAAAGTTATTTGTATATAAAAAAAATAATTAAATCTAAAAAATAATTAGAAATTTTGAAAAATAAATTAATAAAAGAAAATATTGAAATAATTTTGAGAAATGGGCTAATTTGAAAAAAGGGTTCTGAAAACAACTCCGAAAAATTGGAAAAAAAAAATTTTCGAAAATAATATTTAAAAAAAATAATTCAAAAATATAGAAATTTTTTTTAATAACAAAAAAATATTGAAATTATTTAAAAAATTGATTATGTTCAAAATTAAAACATAAAGGAGAAATGTTGAAATTATTTAAACAAAATTTGATTTTTTAGTTTAAAAAAAATCTTAATTCACCTTTTTGAAATAATTTCAATATTTTTTCCTTATTTTTTAATTTGCAAACTATTTGTATTTGGGAAAAAAATAATATTGAAATTATATTAAAAAAGGAAAATTTTGTTTTGTTTTTTTTTAATTATATAAAAAATTAAACCATTTAAATTAAAAAAAATAAATACAAAAAATATCCAAAAATATAAAAAAAGTTTCTAAAAATATTGAAAAAATAGGAAAGAATATTGAAATTATTTTGAATCTTTTGGAAAAGAGATTTTTTTTAAATATAATAAAAAAAATTAATTTGAAAATTAAAAAAAAATAGGAAAAATATTTAAATTGCTTAATCAAATTGAAAAAATATTACAACAATTCAATATATTTTTGAATTTTTTTTGAAAAACGAATCTGATTACTTTACAAATAAAAGTTTTTCAAAAAAAAGATTTTTTTAAATATATTTTTATAAATTTAATTTTTTTCCAAATACGAAAGAAATTTTTTAATTTTTTGAAATTCTATTTATCAGAACATAATATTTTCCGAACTTTAACCTAAAAAAATCGGATTAATGAACCCAATTTAAATCCCTTGATTACAAATTGTCAATCTGAAAAATGTAGCCCGAAAAATTGCCCTCTCAAAATTTTGTTACCATTTCTAAACAAAAAAATTAATTGAAATTAATTTAAAAAAAAAAAACACAAAATTAAGCTAATTTCCATATACTTACAAAAAATACAACAACAACAAATTAACTTCAAAAAAATGAAGAGAAAGAAAATAAAATACCTAAAGCAATTTTTAGATTTAAATTTTTATGTAGTTTTTTAGAACAAACAACAACAACAAGAACAAACAAAAAACAATTAGCAATAATATTAACTACTATATATAAATATAAAAATAAAAAATTAAATGTATATATTTATTAAATGTTTTATAGAAACTAAGGTTAAATTGGAAAAAGAAAAAATTTAACTAATTTTTTAATTGATTTAAAAACAATGCTTTTTTAACATATCCTTTCTTTTTTAAACAAAATTTTATTTAAATAGTTAATTGAAATATTTTATAATTATATATTTTTTAATTTGGATTTTTTTTCTAACTAAAATCTTCCTGTTTTAATTTGAAGTGCCTTTCTTTTCAAAAAATAATTAATTTTTTTCACTAAAAAAATATTTTTGTAAATTTTATTTTGGATTAAATTAAAAATTGAAATATTTTTGCAATATTCTTTTTTTAAACAACACTTAAAGAAATTATTCATGTTTGCCTTAATTTTGAAAAAAAAAACTTTTTTTTATTTTCTTATTAAAAGTTAAAATAAATTTTGTAAATTTTTGGATTGATTTGAATTTTTTAATGAAAAATGTTCAAAACTTTTTTTGAACGAAAATTAAAAAATTAACCATTTTGTTTGAATTTAAAAAAAATTATTGAAATATTTTTTCAAATTATTTTTTATTGATCTGTTATTTCAAACTTAAGAATATTAGAATAACCCACCACAAAAGTAAACACTGACTTGAAAAAAAATAATAATATAATAAAACACCTCCCAGGGATATATAAAGCATGACATTAATATTTAAATATTAAAAAAATACTTAATTTAATAATGTACAAAAAAAAATAACTCTGGAATTCACACAACTACATACATAATTCAAATGTGCCATTTCAATCAAACAATCTCAAAGCAATCAAACAATACTTCCTTACAAAAAAATAAATAACTGAAGCCTCCCCCTTCAAACGAGGGACCTTAACAATAACTCAGGAAATTGTGAAAAAACAAATAAATATATAGAATTAAAAAAACATTCCTTAACTCGCAGTAAACACACACACACATAAAATATTAAACAAAATATTAAGAAGATATATACCTTAAAACTACCTCATTTTTATTTTTTTAAAAACAAAAAAGTCAGTGGAATATTTTTTACCTCTAAATTAAGAAGAATAAAACAAAAAATTATATTGAGCCTAAAAGTAGGCAACACATTTTATGTTCAGCTTCTCATTAAAAAAATATGGCAGTACATGAAATAAATAACACAAGAACCATGTATATAAAAACCCCCAACAACAAATGCAATAATTTATTATAAAATAAAAATTATTATTAAATAAGATATAAAAAAATAAACTATCTTGCCAATTTGAAAAATAAAAACACATAAATATTATAATAATATTATATTCTAAGCTATTAAATTAAAATAAGAAATTAAATGCACTTAATAAAAAATAACTAAAAAATAAAATAAATTAACAACATCACCCAATCATGCTTAAACAAAAAATGCAAATCTATAATAAATTAAATTGGAACTGTAGTACTTAATTTTAACAAAAACAACAATAAAATACAAAGACACAACAAATAAACGTAAATAAATTAAACAAAAAAATGCATTTATTTTAAAAACTTAATTATTTTTCAACTTAAGAATTCTCGGGAATATACCTCAAATATACTCAAAATGCTTTTAATTAATTTTTGTGTAATTATTTTTTTTAATTTTGTTAATTTTATTTAAATTAAAAAAATATATTTTTAATTATTTTTATATCACTAAGAGCAAGACACACACAAAAATGACAAAACAAATAATTTGTTTTTTAATAATAATAATTATTCTTATTTTAATTTTTATTATATAATTCTGAAATTAAGTTTTTTTTAATTTAAGTTGAAAAACAACACTTCTTTAAGCTTTACTTATAAAATAATTTTTTTACATTTAAAAGTTCTCTAATTTTTTATTATTAATAATATTTTAGGTTGTATGATTGATTATCTTAGCCCTTTTGCCCCCTATCCTGCCCTCCTTATGTACTTTACTCTCCAAGAGTTTATTTTTATGTTTAAGAACAACAGCAAGCAAAAAATACATATTTTTATGAATATATTTTTTTAGAATCTCTTCTACCTCATTTTTTATTGCTTTGACTTTTAATTTTTATTTCCCATATATAAATACATACTTAATTTTACTCTAACCACTTTAATTTTTAAGTTTTGTAAAAAAAGTAAATACTTTTAAATAAAATTTTAGTTAAAATATATTTTTTCTGAAAAAAATTATGGCTTTTTAATTTTCATTTAAGTGGTGGGTACAATTTTTAGGGAAAGGGGAGAACGAGAGGTTAGAGATTTCATGGGTAATGGTAAGTATGGTGGTGTCAATCGGACAAATGTTGGAAATTTGTTGGAAATTTTAATAGATCTTAACATACGTCATCCTAGATTCAATACGGTAAGTTGTGACAAAATTTAGGCTTAATCGGACAAACTTTGTAAGATTGGTCCTCCGTTTACCGGAAATCAAATGAAAATATATATGTAAGGTATATCTAAATTTAAGCAGAACATGTTACACTTAATTCTAAGCTTAGTTCGGTACACTGTATTAAATTTCGTGGGAATTGAACTAACATGGGGCCTTTAATATAAAATTTGTACAAAATCGGACGAAAGTATATATTGGAGCTATATCTAATATGGAACTGAGTTTTACCATTTTTAATGGGGCCCAACCTTGAGTCAAATAAATGAACTGAGATAAATGTAATTTCCTTCTGCACAATTTCAGCAATCCGAAACCAATATAAATTGTAATGACTGCACCATCCTGAAAAGGTTTATGTAGACAGCTGATGCTATTCAGCTGCGATTGATGGGGAATGAACTCCGTGGACTGCATTTACTCTGTATTCATTAAACACGTCGACAACTTCTTCAATGTGAATGCTATTCAGACGTTTATTGATATAGAGGCTCTCTCTTTCCGAAAGGAATTCGATGCAGAACATGGTTCTAAGAAAATGAACTTCAAAAAACGGACATTTTAATAGCATGAATGTCTCTAAGATGGCAAATGGAGTCTTAAACAAGTGAAAAAGCGGTAAGTTCGGCCGGGCCGAACTTTGGATACCCTCCACCATAGTTATATTGACAGGTACTATAAATGAAAATATAGGGAACATACCAAAAAGTGGACCTATACCGACATTTCTAAAAACGGATTATGTAAACCATAATAAAAATTTTAGAAATTTTTAAAGGACAATTATACCCTCAGCCTTATAGCTAATGAGGGTGTATACACTTCAACACGATGAAAATGTGCCTCATCGAAATATTGGTTCTAGACCCCATGTTTCTTTGGACCAAATCTGTTTCAGAAAATTTAGATTTCATCCGAACTTTGTCCATCTTATTATTTCTTCCAAGCTTAGTTCAAATTCGAAGATGGGGAATATCGGTCCACTCCTTCTGGAATCAGGGGCTTGCTCTAAATGCCGAACCTTACATTCTATTTTTTTATCTCTCTATCCTCGGCAGTTGCACCAAATCAGATAACTATTTTAATATAAAAAAGGGGGTTATATGGGGACTACCCCAAAAAGGGGGCGAATATTAATAATTTTTGGTAGGGAGATTTGTTACCACATACGACTACAAAATACCAAATAGCAGCAAATTCGGTTGAAAAACGTGCTCAAGAACCTCAAAATAGCGAAAATTGGGGGTACCCTTATATGGGGGCTACCAGAAAAATTCGACCTATATTTATAATTTTTGGTGGAGATATTTGGCACCCAATAGGAACCAAATGTACCAAATTTCAGCGAAATCGGTTGAAAAACGCGCTCAAGAACCCCAAAATACCGACATTTGGGGGGTACCCTTATATGGGGGCCACCCGAAAAAATTGACCTATATTTATAATTTTTAGTATAGAGATTTGCTACCCAATAAGAACTCAAAGTACCGAATTTCAGCGAATTCGGTCGAAAAATGCGATCAAACCCCCCAAAATACCGCAAAATTAGGGGGTACACTTATATGGGGGCTATCCGAAAATATGGACCCATATTTATAACTTTTAGTGGAGAGATTTGCTACCCAATAGGAACTCAAAGTACCAAATTTCAGCGAATTCAGTTGAAAAACACGCTCAAGAACCTCAAAATACCGAAAATTGGGGGGAACCCTTATATGGGAGCTATGCGTAAACGTTGACCGATATAGCCCATCTTCGAACTTGACCTGCCTGCAGACAAAAGACAACTCTAGGCCAAATTTTGGGGCTCTATCTCAATTCGTTTAGACGCTAGAGTGATTACAACAGACAGACGGACATGCTTAAATCGTCTTAGAATTTTATGCTGATCAAGAATATATATACTTTATAGGGTCGGAAATGATTATGAATGCGTTACAAACGGAAAAACAAAACTAATATACCCTCCATACTATGGTGGAGGGTATAAAAACGGTGGTGCTGCATCATTGGTGCAAGATACCTCATGTTTCTATGGGCCAAATTCGTTTCAATTTGGAGTTGATTTACAAATGGCTGCCTGTCTGGCCGGCTGGTGCGCACAATAAATCTCGAAGGGAGTATAACCGATTTCAACCAAACTTTGGATATCGTAATATTCCTCCCAAACTTAGTTCAAGTTCGAAAATGGGAAATGTCAGTACACTCCTTCTAATATATCCCTCACAAAGTGGTCAAAATTTAGCAAAAACAAATATTTTTTAATAGCATGTGAAGGGATTGTCCGATTCGAATCAAACTTTGTACAACCTATTATATTTACCAAGCTAAATCAAGCTCGAATATGGGATCCATTGATCACCAACCGGTCAGAATTTTCAATATTTACAAACCTCTCCAAACCATAGGATGAGGGTATATATTTTTTCCAGTATGAAAAAATTAGGGCATATGAAATATATATCAAGTCACTCGATCAGTTGCAAGTTTGTTTAGCTAATTTATATTCGATCCCTCATAATCGAAGTTTTTCCGTCAGGTTGTTATGGCGACTTCTTCCAATTCCTTTATTTTAAATTTCTCCATTTCTTGATAGTGTTTTTTATGAAGTTCTCCTAATGTTCGTTTTGTTTCTCTTTAAATGATATACGCAACACATGAATTACGAAATCTTGAAAGGATTACAATTTCTAGTAATCTACCAAGAATCTTTATTATGCACTGACTATTTTAATTGTCATAAAACTAACTAAATAAATAACTAAATTGGCGGAACCTGCATGTGACTTAAATAGCTACTCCAATTCCAACGCAGAGAGCCGAATAAGTAATAATGTGAAGGCGTCCAATATCAATGGATTTTAGCTGCTGGTGTAAAGTGATGAGTTCCGAAGTATGTGTTTCAAATGTGTTGTCTAAAGTTTTGTTTAACACCGTAATCGTATTGGTTATGATAATTGCTTCCAATTGTTTAAGTTTTCTATGATCTATTTAATAAAAAATTTATCTCGCATAAATGCGACCGATCATGTTTGCATAACTTATTTATGACAAATGAAAATGTCATTCATTGTATGTACGCAACTATGCATTTCTTCAATATTGTTGACGGTAGTGAGTCGAGTGCTAAATGGTGGCATATGTGCCTTGATCGTTGGGATCTCCTTCAGTAATTGATGGGGTGTAAGCAGCATCAATGATGCTCTCTTCAGTTTGCTTCAACTTAGATGATAACATGATAAGGTTGGAGACTAGGAAGGCTATTAACTGAGTTGTTTTTCCATTATCTTTCTCTTTTTCACCGTATTTGCTATCAGTCGCATCTCAGTGCGTATATTTTTTAAACTCCTTTGACACGTACCTTCATCGGGTTTGATAATGTTTATTCTTTAGTCTATAATGGATGTTTGGTTTTCAGCAGTGCCAATACGTGATGTTTGTCCTCATTTGTCTTTTCCATGGCTGAAGTCATTTGATCGGCATATTCAGAGACCAAAACACCTAACAAAGAGTGTGCCAAGTTTCCAACTATATTTAGAGCTCCCCGCCTGATGGTCATCTGTAAAGACATCGACGACACTGGCTTTTATTCGCTTTAACTTGGATGGTGACATGATAAGTTGCGAGCTGGGAAATCTATTAACTGAGTTGTTTTTCCATTATCTTCCTCTTTTTCACCGCATTTGCTGTCAGTCGCATCTTAGCGTGTAAATTTTAAAAACTCCCTTGACTCGTACCTTCATCTGTTTTGAGATTGTTTATTGTTGAGTCTATGATTAGAGATGGGCAGTGGGTAAATACCCAAAGGGTAAATACCCGGTAAATTGGGTAAATACCCATATGTGGGTATTTATTTGGGTATTTACTATATTGACTCGGTAATACAACATCTTACACCCTATTTCCGGGTTTCTGTTATCAAATCGATTTAGAATGGATAGTTTTACGATACTTTAAAGACGTGGGTAAATACCCAAAATTTTGCACACATGTTTCTAATGTCAAAGCAAATATAGAAATCCAACATGGGGTCCCTGGGTCCAAGTTTTGATATAGCCCCCATATAACCATATCTCCCGATTTAAGGTATTTTTTGTCTATTATACACATTTTACAACCAAATTGGCTGTAATTTGGCACAGTGTTCTTTTTGAATACAAAATGTCCATGCAAAATTTTATGTATGTAGGTCCAGGTTTACTGGTAGCCCCCATACAAAGGTACCCCTATTTTGAGTATTTACCAAAAAATTGGGTAAATACAAAATTTAGCATACAAAATTTTGCATACATGTTTTTAATGTCAAAGCCGCCTATGTCTAGTGGTTCGGCAGTTAATGAGTTTATACCCAATTTTTGGGTAAAAACTCGGGTATTTACCCACGTCTTTAAGGTATTGTAAAACTATCCATTCTAAATCGATTTGATAACAGAAACCCGGAAATAGGGTGTAAGATGTTGTATTACCGAGTCAATATAGTAAATACCCAAATAAATACCCGCAAATGGGTATTTACCCACCCCTTGGGTATTTACCCGGTAAATACCATCTCTATCTATGATGGATGTTTGGTTTTTCAGCGGTTCCAAAATCTGCTTACCAACAACGAGAGTTTCCTGACCCTGGCTATCAGACCAACAGGGAAAAATCTGGCGGATGCAGCTGCAATGCTGCCCCGGATTTCTTTCTTTCATTGAACTTGGTTTCCTGCACCGCCGCGATCAACAAGTTCTTCTGGATAATGTCATGGAAACTGCGGTGAAGTACAGTATAGTATTTCGATAATCCATTTTGTAGTCTTCTTAAGGAAGATCAATTGGTCTAAATGAAGACCGATTGGTTTTCTATATAAAGATGCAATCGGGTTTTATATGAAGACCTAATGGTCTTCTATATGAAGACAAACTAGTCTGTTATTGGAAGATCTTATGTTCATATAAAATTAGAAAGAAAGATCTATGGGTCTTCTAAAAGAATACCTAATGGCCTTCTGAAAGAAGACCTAATGATCATCTAAAGCAATATATAAAAATATTAAGATAAAACAATAAACATGTACATAACTTGTTTGAAAAAGATTTACATAAATTGCTTGTTTTTTTATTATTATTATTTTAAACATATAAAATATATAAATTATTATTTTAAAAATAATGTGTATAGAAGAAATAAATAAACTTAAATCGAATACGTAGAATTCATTACAGAGAACGTAAATAAGTGTGTAAATACAATTAACAATCATGTATAGAGAATAAATATGTTACATAAAAAATAATAGTTTTGGGCGAAGTAGTGATCATACACAACATTCAAAATGAATATGAATTGTGGGGGAGGACAGATTTTTTTTGTTTTTTTGCATAAAAAAGAGTAAAACAAAACAATAAATTATAATTGTATGACTAATAAATTGCAGTAATTCACAAACATATTCCAAGTGCAATTAAAATTAAGTACACCTTAACAAAATTACATAGAATAATTCAATACAAATTAAATAATCGGCAATGGACGGATCCCCGACCAGCACGGAAGACCCAACACACAAACAATAACGGATTGAAATTACACAGTAATAAATGCCACTTATACAAATATATATAGATCGATTGATTATTATTATTGCCCAAGTTGCGAGCGCAGTCTCTGGATTTCTTCACGGCGTGTATGTAGAACAATTTTTGCATTTTCATATTTTTCTCGAAGTAGATTTAATTCCTTTTTCATGGAATCACATTGACTCTGAAATTAAAAAGATTAAAAAATAATGAGTTGCTGTATATATTTCAATTATAGAGAAAATTTCATACCTTCAACATTTTCATTTGTGTCGCTTCCAGGGTATTCATTGAATTACCATCGGTATTTTCTTTTTGTGATATTCTCTCCTCTAGCTCTTTGATGCGATCCTTGCGATAACGACAGATGTTTATCAAATCATTATACTTGCCCTGCAAGGCATTAAAGGAGGTGCTGATATCACCATCGGTTTGGGTTTCAACATCTGTGGTGTCGGGCACTACAATTACAGGCGTGGCAACAGTTTCTGATGATGCTGTTGTTTTCTTTTCGGCAGAAGACGACTGTGCCGCTGCTGCTTGCTGTTGAAGCTGAGCCTGGGCCTTTTCCAATGCTGCCATTGCTTTTTCCGTCTTTTGTGTCTGTTCATAGATTTTCTGCTTGTAGCGTTTCATTTTTTCCTGTTCCTCTTGTAGTCGTTTCATCAATGCGGCCTTTTCATCCTTTAATGGATGATTTTTCAATTCCATACTCAAAGCAGTGACTTGACTTTCGCGAATGAATAAATTACGTTCACATTCTTTGAGTTTACGATCCAACTCCTCACACTTGCAGGGTTCTATAATGAAACAGAAAATAATTAAATTTTGTATTTAACTTTTAAAAATCATTTAATAAGCCTCCTACTTACCCTGTGGATCGGTCATTGTTCCTTTTTCCTGTTCAATACCACATCGCCGTTCATCGAATGTGCTCAAACGTCGATTTTTACGTTTTCCACTAATATCCGATGCATCTAAACTCTTTCTTGGCCTTGGTGAATTTGACGAAGTATTTACAAAATCCATGGATGTATTGCCTGATATATTCAAGTTTTGTCTATCCATATTCAAATTGTTGATGGTAATTTCACGTATTTTACCCTCCAAGGATGCAGTTGTTGCTTGCAGAGTTTCAATGGTGGTGGTTAGCTGCTGTTTTTCTTCTTCAAATGCACGTTTTTTTGTTGTCTGTAAAAAGCACCAATGTTTTATAGTTAATAGGCGGATCAATAGTATTAAAAATTAATGAAAAATAAGGAACTCTTATCGACCGTGTTTGATCAACTTTCTCCATTGTGAAGAAATTGTCTATAACTTGTACTGCTAAGAGGACCTATAAAACAAGAACCATAGAAAACCTTACAGCGAGACCATCTACCCACAAAGTAAGAGTTCTGATTACAAAAAAAATTAAGACAAAACAAAGAAATCAAACAGTTGGAACTACACATATTTTTCTGTTACTCCACTTCGAAGCTAGGATTTTCACAAATAATCGTCATATTACTGAATTAATTAAGTAGATCGGCATTAAAATTTTTGGACAAAGGATTTTCTATCTATAAAAAACCCGATTGCCAACGTACATCTAATTTGGTTGAATTGTTTCAATAGTGCGATACCGTTGTATTGGACCTATACCATTTTTCTGTTCTTCCCCTTGAGAGCCATAGGGTTTCTTCAAACCATCGCCATATTAAACGATTAGTTTCTCGTTTTTTTTATATCTTCCGACATAAAGACATTTTGTCTTTGTTCTATGATAATTGTTCGAGGCCAGGTGTTTCTTGGTCAACCTCGATTTCGTGATCCTTGGTTATGGTAGGAATAATTTGTTCCTAAGGCGTGGAAAGTCCATTTCAAATTCCTCTAGTTAATCAGAGTTCCTGGTTCGTTATGGCATTGGGTTAGAATATCCTGCATATTTGTTTGAGTACTGGTCCTAGTTCCACAGATCTATGTTAGTCGTGGCGTTGGGCCAGATTATCATGCATGAGCTCCAATTCGGAGAATCTAAAAGTGACATCAGCGCTCACTTAGGTATTCGAATTGTGAGCGGCTGTTGTTTAATACCCCGAAAATTAATTTCAGCTACCCAAAAAGTAGGCAATTCTCTGTAGTGAAATGTACGAATTCTTTCTAATGGCTTATCATGGCTATGGAAAGAACTGCGTTTATAGGTTATTAAGTCGGAGCTATCGAAGAATATGACATCTGGGCTTGGGTTTTTATAGAATATTTTGTAGAAAAACTTTTAGGCCTCTAGACGTGATTTTTTAAAGAATATTTTCTAGGTGGACTTTTAGGCCTCTAGAATATTTTTTAGAAGAACTTTAAGGCCTCTAGATGTGGAATTTTAAAGAATTTTTTAGAAGGACTTTTAGGCCTCTAGGCGTAGGTTTTTGTAGAATATTTTCTAGAAGAACTTTTAGGCCTCTAGACATGAATTTTTAAATAATATTTTCTAGAAGGAATTTCAGGCCTCTAGGCGTAGTTTTTTAAAGAATATTTTCTAGAAGGACTTTGAAGCCTCTAGGCGTGCATTTTTTAAATATATTTTGTAGAAGTACTTTAAGGCCTCTAGGCAAGGATTTTCTATGAACATTTTCAGAAGGACTTTTTGGCCTCTGGGCAAGGATTCTTAAGGAATATTTTAGAAGGACTTTACGGCCTCTGGGCGAGGATTCTTAAGGAATATTTTAGAAGGACTTTACGGCCTCTGGGCGAGGATTCGTAAGGAATATTTTTGGAAAGAACTTAAGTCCTCGAGGCGTGTGTTTTTAAAGAATATGTTCTAGAAGGACTTTTAAGAATTTTAAATAATATTTTTAGAAAGGTATCGTCACAGAAGCACAGAAATGATTTTTGAAAAATATTTTCTGCTACCCGAACATTTGAGGGATTAGAAAATTATCTGAAGCGAAATCTCTGAGCATTTTCAATTGGCTTCCCATGGTCATAAAAAATAAAGCGTTCAGAGGTTATAAAGCCCTTCCTTGGGACAACTAGAAGATATCTTTGTCAACTGGCTAGTAGGCATTCTGTTGGAAGACCAGTAAATCTTCTGATACAATACAATCGTCGCAGAAAAAACCTTTTCCTAACAGTACCAAAAATATTCAAATATAAAAATTCTCAAATCCTCCTCTACTTACCATTTCCGTTCTCAGAGTGTTATAACTTTCCAATTGACGTTCCAATAACTCCTTATGATGTTGAAGATCATCACGTAAGTTGCGACTACAGCGACCAGCTTCCTCAACGGTGGCTTCCATTTTACGTTGCATTTCAAGATAATCTGCTTTCAAGACGGTAATTTGATTTTGCAACACTGCAGCTTCTTGCAATTTTAGATTCGCTTCGCACACTTGTTGTTCCAATTGTTTGTTAACAATTTGTAATTGTTCATTGGTTGTTTGAAGGGAGGTATATTTCAATTGTAATTCACCCAAAGAATTTTTAAGTTCTACGGTTTCATGCTGTAGCGAGGATTGTGAAGATTGTAACTGCTGTTGTAGAGAATTAAGTTGAGAACGAAGTTCCTTTTCCACATGTGAAGCTTGCATAAGTTTTGTTTCAAGTTCATGGATTTGTTCGGTTTGTTTGTTGGAGGTTTCTTCATGCTGTTGGGCTAGGGATTTCAAATTTTTAATTTCATTCGTAAGTTCGGAATTCTTTTGTGATATCTGGTTAAGAGAACGTTCAACCTCTTCATGTTCTTGCAGGAGAGCTTCATATGACTTGGCCTTGGAACGTGTTTCATGCAGCTCCTGGGAGAGTCTTTCAAGTTTTTGAGTAAATGTGTTTTCTTGTTGTTTGTATTGGGATATGTCACGTTCATATTTGGTGAGGGTAATTTGCATTGTGTCTTTTTCTTGCTGTAGGGCACACAACTTTTCAGAATTCGCATTTCGGAGATCAATTAATGAGGCTTCTAATTTAGCTTTTTCCGCAGAAAGTTCTTGATATTGTTGTAATTCCCTTTCTAGGGTTTCATTTTCTTTACTGGCGTTTATGAGAGAGGTTTTCAACAATTCCATTTGATGATTATTAGTTTCAAATTGTTGTTGTAGATTTAGGAACTCCTGTTGTTTGGCTTCGTATTTTTCATTGGTTAAACGTAGATTTTGTGTTAGCTCCGCTTTTTCTTGTATCATTTGTTCCAGCAATTCTTCAGCCTTCTCTTTTTCTTTGAGGCAAAGTAATTGTTTCTTGAGCGTTGTAATCTCTTCGGAAAGTAGAGAACATTTTTCAGAGAGAGATTTTTTCTCTTCAGTTATTTGCGATAACTGAGTTTCGAGAATACCGCTGTCGTTTCTCAATTTTTGTAATTCGTCATTACATTTTTGGAGATTTTGTTCTAAATTACACTTCTCCAATTCCAAGCTTGCACTTGTGGTTGTGAGTGTATTTAGTTGTGCTTGTAGGTCTTCATAGGCCTTTAAGTGGTCAGTTTCTCTCTCTTTGAAGGTGTTGAGTTCTTCATTTTTCTGCGTTATTTGGGAATTAAGATCTTGTAAGTCTTGTTGGAGTTGTTCTTTTTCTGCTTGATGTTGTTGCAATTGTTCTTCGAGTGATTTTAGTTGTTCTTGTAGGCCAAGCTTTTCTGCTTCTTGAGCCTTTTTAGTTTCCAAAAGCTCATCAATGGTCTTTTGCTTTTCTTGGAGTTCTTCTTTGTATTGTTTTTCAATCTCTTGAATTTGTTCTTCGAGGGCCTTCTTTTCCGCTTCGCTAGAGGTTTCTAGAGTTTTCAGATTTTCTTCAAGCAAAAGTTTTTGTTTTTGCAATTCATAGAGTTCTGTAACTTTAGATTCCAATGAAGATTTTTCTTCCATAACAGACTCTAAAATTTGCAGCTTTTCTTCTAACTCAGACTTTTGCTTTTCCAACAAAGATTTTTCCTCCACAATAATTTCCAATGACTTGAGTTTTTCTTCAGTTAAGGATTTTTCTTCTTTCAAATCCTTAAGCTGTGACTCCAAGGAAAGTTTTTCTTCTTGTAACGCTGACAGGTCTTGAAGTTTTTCTGCCAGTAACCGCTTATCTTCAGTTAGTTCAGATAGATTAGATTCCATTGAAGATTTTTCTTCCATTAACATTTGAAGGTTTTCTTCCAAGGTGGCCTTTTTATTTTCTAACTCCGTTAGCTGACTTACACGCTCTTCCAAGGAGGCTTTCTCCTCTGCGACGGACTGTAGATTCTTTAATTGTTCTTCTAGTTGGAATTTTTGTTCCTCCAATGTGATTTTTTCCTCTCTCAAGGTATTCAAATGCATTTCAGAGAGTTTTTCTCCGCTTTCTTTGGTTTCTTTTAGCTCCACTAGTTCTTTTTCCAAATTTTCCTTTTCTTCGTTAAGCGATTGAAGTTGGCAGGACAATTCGGTTTTTTGCTTTTCGGCATCTTCTTTTTCATTTTGCACTGCTTCCAATGTGGCAATTTTTTCCTGGAATGTTTTGATGATCTCTTCGCGTGCAGAATCTTCTTTACACAGATCTTGAATTTGCATTTCAGCTTGTTGAAGCTTTTGTAGAATTTGTTGCCGCTCCAAAGCCAATTGATCTTTTTCTTCGGAGATTTGTTTTAAGACTTCCTGTTGTGCCTCATTGCTGCTGAGTGCCGCCTGCAATTGTGAAAGTTTTTGTTGTATTTCTTCTTTTTCATCGGCGATTTCCATCTTTTCTTTAACTATTTCGTTGTGTTGTTCGTTGAGGGCCCTGTAATCTTCTCTTAGCTGTAGTAATTCCTTATCGAGCACCTCTTTTTCCTTTAGCAGGGTGGCTTCTTTTTCTTTGAGAGCCTCTAAATCTTTGCGAATTTCCTCGGAGGTTTTTTGTTGCTCTTCCATTTCGAAATATTGAGCCTGCAATGTGGCAAAGTTTTGTTTGATTTCCTGCAATTCTTGCCCTAGAGTATTGGAGGACTCCTCATTGGCTTGAAGAGTTTCCAAGGCTTTATCGTATTCCATTTGCAATTGCTGCCGTTGATCTTGCAGATTTTCATAGTCTTTTTCCTTGGCCTCTTTTTCTTCTTGCAATTTTATTAGCTTTTCTTTTTCATCTTGGAGTTCTTTTTGAGATTTTTCGCAAATGTCTTCCTTTTCTTTCATTTCCTCCAAGGCTTGTTGTAATTGTAATTGAATTTGTTTGTACTCTTCCTGAAGTTTTGCCATTTCCTGGGAGTTTTGTTGTTCCTCTTGGAATTCGCGTAAAGCCTGCTCCTGTTGGCGACACTGCTCTTGCAGTTGTAACCGCTGAGCTTGTATTTCTTCGAAATTGTGTGTGAGATGTTGTAACTCCTCTCGCACGGTATGGCATGTCTGCTCCGCCCCCTTGAGTTGTGATAAAATTTGTTCATGTTGCGATTGCAATTCATTGTATTGCGTTCGGAGTTGTTGGAGCTCTTGGTTTTCTGCCTGTTCACCCTGACCCTCCTCTTTGGATTGCACATATTCACTCTGCAATTGATTATATTCATTTTTAACCTTTTCCATTTGCTCCTGCAGCTCTTGAGCCTGCCGGCTTATCTCTTCATTTTCTTGTTGCAATTTTTGCAATTGCTCTTCCTGCTCTTTTATAGTAGCCTCATATGCATCCTTCCGATTCTCCCATTCCGCATTGTATTTCTTAATATTATCCCGATATTCATTTGCGGACATTTCCAATTTCTCCATCATTTCCAGTTGCAGTTGTTGACAGCGTTCTTTATACTGTTTCTCCTTCTCGTCAAATAGATCTTGTGCCGCCTTCATATCGGATTCCAAATCCAAATTACGTTGTGTTAAATCTTCCAACATACTTGTTTGGCTGTCCAGCGTTTCGGCCATTTCTCGTTCCTTGGCTTGTAAGTTCTCCAATTCTCGGCGCAAATCATTGATGGGTGGGGGAGGAATTAGTGGTTTAGCAATCTCTCCATTTAGGGTACAGTTCATCATCAGCATCGATGAATCAAAGGTACAATTGTTAACCTTTTCCTGCAGCTCCTCAAAGACCACAGTCATATCGGCCTTTTCTTTCTCGAGTGTTTCAATTTGCTGCTGATATGTCTTACAGGCACACTTCTCCACAAATATGGATTTTTCCAAGAGTTCAGCAGACAACTGGGTAATTTGTTCGCGCATTTCGCTGAGGGTACGTTCGGTATTCTCCAACAGAGCCTTATTGCTTTGACGTTCCTCCTCATTCAACGAACGCAACTGGGATATTTGTTCCTTAAGTCTAACTATGAAATCCATGCAATTTTCACAACCATCTATTTCACCATCACAATTATTTGCCTTGCCATTCTCACCGCCATTTACATTCTCCTTCTCCCCATTTTCTTCCTCCTTCTCATTCTTCTCCTGTTCTCCTTCTTGTTTTTCATTTAATTCCACAATGTGGAATGAATGCTGTTTGAATGAACCCTGCAGCTGTACATTTTCCATTTCTTCCAGGAAACTCTTTTGAATTCTATTTACACCGCTTATATTGCGCAAATATAATTTGTAGTTTGGCGTCAGTTGTGCACCCACTCCTCCTTGTGTTTTAGGCGTCTTGAATATTCTTCTCTGGCCATTTTGTTGTTCCAATTCAATTTGTGTCAATGATTCGGAAAGTTGTTGGAATTTCTTTAGTAACTCATCTTCGGGACAGGGGCTACCCTCAAACTCGCCATATTCTTCTTCGATGCATACGCCTGAGCTACGCATGGAGGAGTTGCGTCCAGGCGACGGGGTACACAACATGGATCTACGTTCATGGCCCAAAACCTTTTCCAGCTGGGATTTCAATTCACAAATCTGAGCCTCAGCCTTGGATACCTCAGAGGAATTTTGTTGCAAAGCCTTAACTTCTTCCTGCAATTTCAGATTTTGTTCCTTGAGTGTATCACTCTCTTGCAGGTTGTCCATCAACTGATTTGATAGATCATCATATTCGCGCTGTAAATCATCAAATTGTGTTTGTAAATCCAATAGCTGAGATTTGAGTTGCTCGTTTTCTTTGACCAGATTTGCAGTGCCCGATGAGGAAACCACTTCCTCCTGTACATCCGTCTCCTGCCTTTCCTTGTCACCGGGTGCTCCCCTCTCCAATAACTGCTGCTGGACATCTTGTACCTTGTGTTTCAATTCCACAATTTCACTTTGCAGCTCCAAATTCTCCTTCTGCAAACGTTCACAATCTGTCACCGAGGCCGTGATGGAGGATTGTTCCTTACCACTACTACTCCTCTCCAATTCTTCATATTCCAATTGTAAATTTTTATATTTGTTTTCAATTTCAGCATATTGTTGTTCGATATCTTTCAAGGTCTTTTGCTGTTCTTGCCATGATAATTCCAAGCTATTGTATTTCTCCTGCAACACCACCATTTCTTGTCTTGCCAATTCGACTTGATGGTTTAAGGCCATACATTCTTCAGATTTGGCAGAATTTTCCGAGCTCACCTGCTCGTATTCTTTTTGTATATCTTGCAATTTCTCTCTCAGCAATTGCAGATCCCTTTGCAATAGTTCACATTCGTTACGTTCCCGTTTTTGTAACTCTTCAAGTTCTTCAATTTTTAATTTTGATTCTTGATTTTCTTTTTCAATTTCCTGATAATTGATGCGCAACTGTTCGTATTCTAGAGTGAGTTTGGTAAATTCTTGTGTAACTTTTTCGTTATCGGCTAACAGACGTTGCAAATCTTCACATTTAACACAAATTTTACCATTCTCATCGATATTCGATTCGGTTAGCGACAGTTGCAATAGTTCCTCTTTGGAATTTGTGAATTTTTCACTGGTCAAGGTCTTCAGTGACTTCTCCAGCTGATTTACTTCACGTTCTTTTTCCTTGAGCGCTTCAAGTAATTCGTTTTCTCGTAGTTTTGATTTATTCTTGTGTCGATCAAACTCAAATTCAATATTTACAGCTTCACGATTTTCCATTTCCAATTTTTCATTGGTTTTCTTTAGCTCAGCCAATTCCAATTCATATTTGGCTATTTTGTCATTGGCACTCTTATTGGCTGATGTTAATTTACTGATTTGGATTTGAAGGGCATCACATCTGTAAATATATATTTTTTTTATAAAAGAAAGGCAAAGAGAAAAAGGAAAAAATGATTAGAAACATGATCGAATTTGATTCGATGAAAAAAAAAAAACAGAGCAAAATAAGTGTTAGTCTAAGATACAAAAAGCAAATGTTTGCAAATGATTTTATAGATACAAATACAAAATAGAATATGAAAATACATATTTTCTAATTAAATAAGAACCATCCAGTGAGTAGAGCAGTATAGACGGACGCCCCCGACCACTAAACAATATCAGAATACTTAGACACCTGTAAGTATTTAAGTACAACTCCCACATCCTAGTAAATATTTGGTATCAAATTAAAGGCCAATCACCTCTCTTAGATATACTATCAACATCTGAGGTCTATGTCCTTCAGGATATATACGCCATAGAATACAAATTTTGTAATTTTTCATTCAAAAGTCTGGGTCCATTTGACCCCTTAAATATTGACCTATCTTTTTTAAAACAGTCATGCTTATTCCATGATAAGACCCCTTTCTATGTGTAAAATTTCATAATGTTGGAATAATGATTGCCTCTACAACTAGAAATATAGAGAAACATAAAGATTTTGGTCCATTTCATCCCTTAAACATTAACCGATCGATCAGGGGTCTTCTTTGGCCAGAACTCGCCCTAAATTCAAAATTTCGTGGTCCATAACTATGGCCTGTATCGTGTTGACAAATTATAATGGAGATATGGCGTTCGGTATACAAAAGGTGGGTCTAAGATTAATATTTCGCGGCGTTACAAACTATATATAGTTGTGTAGTGTATAAAACTGAGTCGCAGTAGATGTAACAACTGGTGAACTATTGCCTTTCTGGGGGCTCTTTTACGGACACTCCTAAGTCGATACACCTTTACTCCTTTACCCCCCTAGAAATTCCTGATGGCTTAGAGATTCCTGACATTTTCAGTTGAGGGGGGTAACTGGATCTACCTCTTCACGCGATGTAGGAATTCTTTCCGTACAAATAAACTTGATATTCCCTTTTATTTGAAGAAATTCTTATTTGTGCTCGAGGTCACTCAGAACGATTTGTATAGCTTAAGCAAGGTTGAGCAGTAGCGGAAGACCTAAAACCGCAAATATCCCTTGTACCAGCACAGTATAGGAGGGCCCAAACAGTTTCTGCAACCTCATTTCCATAGGAGTGCTGATGATATATAATTTTAAGGAAGGTTACGATAGCCCTGTGTCCAATAAGAACTACTACAATTCTTAACATGCCCGAAATTATGCAGGTTAAGCTGCTTGCTGCTTTTATAGAAGAAACATTTTAATTTTCCTCTACCACGAAGAGGCATTGAAAATAACAGGGGTGTTTTTAGACAATAGACTGTATGACAGTAGTTTGAGAAGTGCTGCTTCAGTTCAGCTTCTGTTTTAAATCCCCAATGTCTGGGTTGTGCTTCAACATCTTTCCCAACGCAAATTGTGGCGGTACGTTGTTGGCCGGGAGAGATTGTATACGACGCAATACACTTATCTTTGCCATGTCGCTCTCAAGTTGCACCACTACCAATTTGAGTTAACTGAAACAGAAATTGGATCATCCTTTTTCACTTAACCGTTGCCCCGCAATTAACTCGATCCTGCACCGATGACTTCAGATGTATGGACACTTTGGGTATATTCTACCAATTAAAACCAGTAAGGAAAGTAGTAAAGTCGGACGGAGCCGACTATATGATACCCTTCACCACTATGGGTATATTCAACAGATGAATCCTAACAGACGTCGCATTTTTAAAGGACCTGTGAAATGATATTGGATCCATAAACATGTCATTCTGCAATTCATTACGCTGTGCCAAATTTCGTGCAAACCGAAAGATATTATGGGATTTTGGTACAACATTTACATTTAATATGACGAAAATATATATGGGAGCTATATCTAAATCTGAACCGATTTTCACGACTCAAGACTCATTCAAGACTTTATTCAGTACGCTATGCCAAATTTCGTGCAAATCAAAAGATATATAGGGACTTTAGTGCACCATTTACCTTAAAGCAGACAAAAATATATATGGGAGCTATATCTAAATCTGAACCGATTTTTCCCAATTTCAATAGGGTTCGTCCTTGGGCCAATTAAGTGACCTGTGCCAAATTTCATCTAAATCGTATCATAAATGCGACCTGTAAAGTACAGGTTAACAAAAATACATGGACGGACGGACAGACTGACGGACATGCATAAATCGACTCAGAAAGTGATTCTATGCATATTCTCAAAAGGAATCATATGTCTATCCCGATTATTTTTGCCTGTTACAAACATTTGCACAAAGACATAATACCCTGTACCACAGTGTGGTGAAGGGTATTAAAATCTAGAACGTCATTCTAGTCTCAATTTGATAGGTTTCGTGTCAACCGGTGCAACATTTACCTAAAATCCAAGGAGAATTTTAATGGGAGTTATATCTAAATCTGAACTGATTTCAACAGAATTTGTGTCAATAGTACAAACTTTGGGTCTTTAGTGCACACTTTACATAAAATCGAAGGAATATATATGGGAACTATATTTAAATCTGAACCGATTTTAACGAAGCTTAGCAGACATCATTCTACACTCAATTCAGAACGCTATGCCAAATTTCATGCAAATCGAAAGATATATAGGGACTTTGGTGCACCATTTACATAAAATCGGACAAAAATATATATGAGAGCTATATGTAAATCTGAACCGATTTTCACGAAATTTAACACACATTGTTGCAAATATATATGGACTTTGGTGCACTATCTACATAAAATCGCACGAAATTATATATGGGAGCTATATCTAAATCTGATCCGATTTTCAGGAAACTTAGCACACATCACTCTAGAATTAATTCAATACACTGTGCAAAATTTCGTGCAAATCTAAAGATATATAGAGACTCTGGTACACCATTTACATAAAATCGGACGAAAATATATATATGGGAGCTATATCTAAATCTGATCCGATTTTCAGGAAACTTAGCACACATCACTCTAGAATTAATTCAATACACTGTGCAAAATTTCGTGCAAATCTAAAGATATATAGAGACTCTGGTACACCATTTACATAAAATCGGACGAAAATTTATATAGGAGCTATATCTAAATATGAACCGATTTACCCCAATTTCAATAGGATTCGTCCATGGGCCAAACAATGAGCTGCACCAAATTTCATCCAAATGCGACCTGTACGTTTTTTACAATTTAACACCAAGAGACGGACGGACATGCATAAATCGAATCAGAAAGTATATTCTCAAAAGGAACCATGTGTCTATCTCATTTCCTTTTGACTGCTACAAACATATGCACAAAGACATAATACCCTGTATCACAGTATGGTGAAGGGTATAAAAACAGTCAAATCGCTTAGAAAAACTTGTCCAACATTTTCAAAATACCCAAATGAGGTTATAATGGGGACTCTATTCCGAAATGTGGACCAACTTATATATAATAGTTGCTAACCACTGATAATCGAAAATTGATTAATCATTCGTAAACGATTTAAGGCTACAAAGTATTTTTGCCATCAAATTCTAAATCTACTTGAATTCATTGTAACCACGGTCAACTGTAAACATCGGTGTTCTAGTGATACAAATATAAAACAACAAAACAAAAACTAAAAGAAAATGCGACCATTAAAATATAAACAAACAAACAATAACAACTACAAAGTAATCTAATGAATCAGATAAATTGCAGTGATTATTTCGGATTCTGCTTCCTCCTATGGTCTCTGCATAGTCAGTGTATTCCTCCTATGCGCTGACTGAGAGCCAAACAGACAGGCAATCAAAAGATAAGCAATCATGCAAACTATTTAACTTTTAACTGTTGCATTCATTCATTTTCACCACTTATATGACGAGAAATAAAAAACCAACAACAACTACACAATAAAACAACTTAAAAACAATTAACAAAGACATCTAATTTACATAGACAGAGAACTAACAAAGACATGTAAACGGAGAGTAAACATAGAGAGAAGAGTGGAAGATAAGCTAAGAAAATTAGCCTGAAAAAATAATCAGTCTGACAGACACATTTTTATAGTAGGTTATTGGGTGCCAAGGGACAGGCAGGCGACAAGCGACATGTTAACAACGAAGGGGAACAAAATTTAATTAGTGCCCACACTTGTCATCTGCTGGATAAAATATATGTGCAAGAATTTTTGTATATTAGGGTAGAGTTGATGTTCCGCCTACTTTGAACAAAACTGAATGTTGTGGAAAGCTCAATAAAGTCCATTGGGAAGGTTCGTCATCGGGTATTGAGGGGGAGGACCTTGGATAAAATGACCGAGTGTCTAACATTACAAAATGGTCGATTTGATTTTAACCCTTTTTTTAAACAACCCAACAAAATTGATTGGTGTGGCTGCCTTGGCTACCTTAGTTCTCAACCTTACAAATGGAGCTTCAATAATCAATTAATTCTACACTCAATTACATCAACCACTGTCAAATATTTTAAAGATTTTCTATTGATCCTCCCTGTCCCACTACACTTGAAAATATTAACGTAAACCTGGAGAGAGAGACCTACCTTCTCTTCGATCTAATTGAGAAAATCAGTTTTCCCTCTCAACCAAGAGAGTATTCCGACCACCTCTGGGACGATTCTTATTTGACGGACAAGTATGACGCTATGCATACCACTGAGGTCACATGATTTCTCCCATGATTTCTTCACCATATAAAACTTATTTTTATCAATGGGTTAGGTACCCGATGGCAAAGTATCTCCACATGGGCCGAAACTCTGCCCGCGAATTGGGTAGACATTCGAGGTTCTCCTTTAGGTGAAAACCAAACCACCAGGCTACGTCAACGGGCGTAGCGGTCCCTGAGCTTCGTCAAGTTTTCCAATTTTGAAAATAAAACCAGTAAGGAAAGTAGTAGAGTTCTACCGACTATATAATAACCTCCCTTTACCACTTTGGGTATATTGTA